CGTGCCACGAAATTGAAATATATCGAAATATATATATCAGTTTATTATAATTCATCGAAATCTATCAATGCATAAACGAATTAAAAAGAAAAATGAGAATAAAATGATTGACAGAAAATTCATTCTCGAATATCGGATCAAAAAATACGGAGAGGTTGCCATGCCGGCACCCTCACTAATCGATCATCATTCCCATTCCCCCATAATTTCTCGACAAATCATGAAAAAACAAAAAACAAAATGAGATGATGTGTCCATGGGTATCAGATGAATGAGGCTTGGAATAGCGGCAGGCTGTATTTTTTTCTCGGCCGTGGCCAGCTCAGCAAACTGTGGGGCCAATTCAAAAGCTGATAGCTGCAATTGATAAGCATACCATGAACAACACTTCTTCGGTGCATTTAAGCTACTGCGTCCATCCCGGAACTGCAGCATCAACGCAAGCCCAGCTATGGACTTCTCAAGGGCAAGGCAGACCATCCCTTTTCGGGGCTATGATCCACACAGCGCTCGACTCCATCATGAACCCCGTGCTCATCTGAAGAAACCACATATCTCTGGATCGAAAAACCATGGTCCAGCAGATGGCCGCGAGCGCCTATACCAGCTGCTCCTTCTCGGTCACACAAAAACGTGTCGGGTGCACGTTTCCAATACTCACTTGCATCTCGTGTGCGGGCATGGAAACAAACAGCCAGGTGTGCACTTCAGCAAATTGCTATGGGGCCGACCAGGGTGGAATTGTTGAGTTGTCTTTTGGTTTCATGTGCACTCCAGTTCACGCGGCGCAGCATCTTTCCCCAAGGGGGGCGCTGGAGAACTGCGCTCTTGACAAAACCCACGTAGCAAAGCTGCATCGCAGCTGCAACGAGGAATTCCAGATGCTGGAAGGCATCCAAGTTAAGATACGGAGCTGATTGCAATGAGTAGTTCATTGTATTCAGGCACCGACGGATACTCGCTTTGGCGAGGCATCCGGCACTGCAAAGAAAACACTGCGATGTGGGCTCACGGAACTGGCGGGGCTTCCAGGCCTAGGCATCCCTCCAAAACAGAATGCCCTCACAACCACACCACCACCATCATGAATGCGGAGGTATTAGTTCCTTTAGGGGGGCTATTCATGGCAATTTATTCCTCGGCATTGCTCATCTGACAATTCTTGAGACGGCTGAGCATCAGACGTTGAGTAACCCGAGTATGCCTTCGCGCCTCGGCTTCAAACAAACAAGCATCATGTTGCCTGAGAACTGCTTCTATGTTTCAAGTGTAGGTTGACTTGCAGGACAGCACTGTGAGCCAGTGAGCCTTGCACTAATTTGTGAGCAATAGATTAGGGTCGCTGCGGCATGGCAAGCCCAGCGTGCGCGAAATAGGCGTGGCCTCCTTGGCATGAAGATGGGTCTCTTGAGGTGATCATAACTGCTGCTGTACGGTCCTGGAAGCTTTACATGTTCGCACGCTCCAGGAATTCTGAGGGCAAACTAAGGGTGAAACAGAACCTTGGACATTAGACCCCCGTAGGTAAGCTTGCCTGGCCAAGGCGCCCGAACTCTTTACCAGGCTTTGTGAACATACACTCCATCAGCTCAAAGCTGCAATAGACCGGAGGAACACTCAGGCAGCGTCTGGAGTTGCATACGGCCCATGGCCACCGTAGCCCGAGGAGCATGGCACTTGCAGGCCCTGCAAAATCATAACACTGGACTGCAATGCCTGATAGCATCAGACGTGTGGTAGGTGCCACAAGGACAATTCCTGGACTATCTTACCGGTAGGTTCAATAATGTTTAGAGTTTAGAGGCCCCTAGCCAACAGCAAGGGTTTTTGTAGTCCTTGCGCTCAGCGTGTCTCCCCGGCCTCTGAGCCACGGGAAATCGGCAACGTCGGCATGAGCCTCGTTGGTGCCTGCCCAATGATTTGCAGAAGAATGAAAGTTGATGATACTGTTATGATCTCGACTCTGACGACCAATTTCTTGCGTCCGTCATCTGATGCCTTCCACTCTTCTAGTCCTTCTTTTGCACTTGCTATTGCGTGGAAGTAAGTTCCCCCAATGTTGATATCTCTTCCCGAAGACCCAATCAGACTCATGATAGGAAACAAGGGCTTTCCTTTCCTTCACCAGATTTAAAGCATGATGTCTCAAGCCCAACTCTACACGACCTTTGAGAGGACCGCTAAGTCCTAGGGTTGATCTGGAACCCCTATGATCAGAAATCCCTCTACTCCCAGCTGCTCAGAGTTGCTGTTCCGATATCATGGGTCTACATCTGCATGCGGAAGTGATCTGGTTCCCTAGTTGCATCACATTCTTGGCTGACAGCAGTTGCAAAGTCTACAATATCGCTAACCATTGCGGTCCTCATATTTCATGTAGCCCTTCCAAGTCAAATCCTTGCTGTGGGGACTTCCCAGAAAGAGAACCAAAGCTTTGCTGCTACGTGCCCCAACACCTCACCTGACACTTCAGGATGGGTAAAGATACAAACCTATGCTGCTACTACCAGTGCCTTTGCTACTCCACCTGCCCACCGAATCAACGCCACCACAACCACGACCACGACCAGTATTAGCAGCAGCAGCAGCAGCAGCACCAGCACCGGCAAACACCACTGCACTGCACAGTAGCAACAATAAGAAGCAGTACTGCAAGAGAGGAGCAGTCTTTGTACTGAACGAGTGGGATCGTCGTTGTATTTGCTGCAGTCATGATAGCGACTGAAAACGCCGCGTTTCTGCCTGGTAGGGCTACTACCATTGCTGACTGAGGATGCAACCTTCTTGCTTCCCATACCCAGCCCCCACAAGGCCATCATTTTGAAGCTATTCCGTTGCAATCCCTACGTAACCCTAGATGTTTCTCCTAGAGCCACAATACGGGACCATAATCTTCAGGAGCCCCAAGTAGCAAAGCCTGGGTCTCGGTCTTGTCCGCAGCAGCCTTCACTCGCGGTACCCAAGGCATGTTAAGTTTACACAAGTTTAGGGTTTTGGGAGTAGGGTTTAGGATTTTCGGGTGCCAGAAGGCCAAGGAATCTCTGTGTAGCATCGGTTGATACCAACAAAGCTTGCATGGCCTTGTTCCAGAATCATGATGATCCTGGTACTGTTTTCAAAGTCCATGAATCACTGGCATATTGACTTACTTCTTATTGGGGCTCTGATATATTATGCCCACAATACTGAGAGCGGACTTGTCCGAAAGTCCAAGCAACCCATAACTTTGCTGGGCTAATCTTGCGGGAAAGCTCACTTGCGTTTTGAGGTACCTCTGTATGTTGCCAGAGTCGAGGGCTTGCGACAAACTCCAAAAATCAAGGCAGGTGATGCAACACCCAAGGCTGCACACGCCCGCAATGACTAGTTAATCCCCATGGCCAGCCTTGACCACCTGGGACAGGCGTGTGGCCTTGCTTGGACCAGTGGCAGCCACCACTGCCGCTCGCCAGAGCGCCTTGCAACGGGGAAACTTCCGGCTGCGGCTACACGCTAACTTAGGATGTTGCCTCAAGTTACGCTTCAGGGCACCATGCCATGCTCGTTTTGTTTGGCTGTGGAAGCGCTTCAGCGGCAAACCATGGAAAGACGGATAAGATGGTCATCAGGAAGACAAGGATGGGGATGATGGTACTGAGGATGAAAAGTGCATCATCTTCGCCGTACGATGACCACAATTCCAATCTATTCTGACCCTGACGATGATGATGATGACGAACCTTTTAATGGTGATGTGACCCTTTTTGGCGCGATGATTCTGATTGCGGCGATGGTAAGAATGGGTGGCAAGGATGATGACAAGGAGGACGCTGATGGCGGTAGCGACTGCGACAAATATGGATGGCGAATAGGAGTAAACAGGGAAAGAACGTGCAAGTGATTGTTAACAATGAGTGATTGATGATTAGTGAGGCAGAGGCTGAACTCAGTATGCTTCAGCACGTTGCTGTCGATGATAAGAGATCACGAAGAAGAGTGCCACAACGAGTACCATAGCAACGATGACAATATCGACAATGCTGATGATGAGAATGCAAAGGATGGTCACACTGCCAACGACAACGTTGCGCAAGGCTATCGAGCATCAAAAGTGACATCCCGGCCCTCTACTCCACGTGCAGGAGGTTGAGTCGTTGAACCGTTTAAGTGATATCTTTAAGACACGCTGCGCCACTGTTTGCGCTAGATTGTGCAACATGGCAACGTAGGCATGCTTCCGGAATGCTAGCCTGCGGTCTTATCGTGATATGGTAAGCATGATGAACAAAGGTGAGCATGGCATGACCAGGGTGAACGTCATGGATGACAGCAGTTGTTTGAGATACAGAAGATGCTTTGAAGCTGCTGCTGCTGCTGCTGCTGCTGCTTCTGTTGTCTAACGCTTTCGGCTTTCGTCTGTTAGCGGGCTTCATGCAGAGACCCAGAAAAGTCGAAAGGCAAGATAGAAAAGCCATGCTATGTTTCTGATGAAGCTAGGTGTCCGTTTCATATACCGCCGATCCAAGTGCTACAAAAGGGTTGCCAATGTTGAGACAGCCCCAACTCGCCGGGCCTTGACTTCGTCCTTGGCGGTGAACTCCTGCAGGGGCTGCGGCAGCAAGATCCGCGACTTCTCAAAAATTGGTGGGGTGGTTCTCCTTACGGAGTCCTTACAAAAGGAATCACGACATGTTTGGTACCTCGACCCAACACCAGAACTTGCACCCTCCAAGGTCAGTTTTTGCAGACCCAATCCCTTCATCCCGAAGAAACCCCTATACAAACCCTATAGACTGTAACCCAAATGTTGACGGAGAAGCTTTGTAAGGCCCGTGCTGGGGCGAGCGACTCGTCATGGACGGGAACCACACCCTGCACCTGCGGCCATCAACCAATGAGTCAATGCAGGAAGGGCTGTCCGCCATGAGTAGTACTGAGTCCTGATGACGGTCAGAGGCCAGGCCGAGGATTTATGTGCTGCTCTTTTTGGAACGCTTTGCTGCATGGAGGGGGGTATAGCCACTGCAAAAAATGTCCTAATAGCAGACTTGCAGGGTTTTCTGCACTTGAGCAGTCATCGTGGACGATGCGCTGTGCTGTGGATGTCGCATGACTGAAGATAGAGCCTGCAGCTTGTCGATGTCGAAAGAGCCTGGTCAGCAGGCTTGATGCCATAGCAGAAGAGAGGCAGTTGCAAGACAATTCGAGCTTCTGACTGAATGCGATGTCTTCCCAAGCTCCAGCTGTTGTGGTGTAAAGGAGCCTTCCGCTCCAGCCATCCTTCGGCATAGCTTGCTAGGCTCACGAGAAAGGAAGCAAAGCATCCGCATGGCTTTGGGAGCACCAGCAATCCTGTCTCAAAAAAGCCAGGATGTCACGGAAGTACTGCAAGGGCACCTTGCCATCCGCCTGCGGTGAGTGAACAAAGAAATCTATCTCGTTAATAGACTTTGCAGGGAGCAGCGCCTTCCAGGATGAAATCGCCTTCAGCATCAACTTCAGCACTCCTCGCAACCTAATTACGTTGAGAGCTGGACAATGAACAGCTGTGTCTCTGGTGGTCTCAGCTCGAAGCAAGGGCTGCTGCGGCATATGTGTCATCTCCTTGGAAGAGTCTCTTGACTTGCTTGTTTTCTTTTGGGAGCTAAGCTTCCAAGAAGCCGGCTCTTATTTACACTCCACAGAAGCCCTTTACGCAGCCGGATCCCCTTCATGCCGGTGTTGCCGAATAAATCGCAATTTTGGCCCAGAAATCCAGTGTGTCGGGTCTTTTTGAGCGCTCTCGCTGGTAGAAATTTACTCTAGTGTAGACCAATTCCAGGCGCTTGGGGCACGTACAACCTAAAGTTGGGGGAAGGTGAAATGTAAAACCCAGAGGCTTTCAGGGCTCCTGGCATTTGACTGCAAGGAAATAAGCTGGATACTGGGAGAATCCCAAAGGGAAACGTATGCAAGAGGGTCCAGTACCAAAAGCGATAACGGCTGTGAGGAAACAAGCCGCGAATGCGCATGCCAATCATCCTTGAAAAGCAGCTAGCGTACCCTCGCGTTTTGAGTGTACCGGGTATCTTCGAGGCGCCGCGTGGCGGTGCCCATCTGCGCCCACCCTTGCCGTTTCGTCCGCAAAGGTGCTTTGCATGTCAACTTGAATCTTTAAAAAGAAGCTTCTGGTTCTCTGATATGCTGCCATGTTGCCTTCAACCTCCTGCCCATATGTCCTGTCAGAGCCTTTTGGCATGTACCCAAACCTTTCATACTCTTCTGCGCGCAATGTTCGGAAACATCAACGGCGGTGCTAAGGCCAAGCGTCATTGACGAATAAAATGGCTGTAGTCTTGTTGACAGCCGGGACATGACTCCTGCAAGACGTCTGCTAGCGACAGGCGGTCATCTTCGAGGAATCCTTCTAAGTGTCAACCGGGAGAAATTGACAGCTGTCCTTGTCTCTGTCACGTACTCCTCCATGCTCAGGCGTCCCCTGTGGCAGGTCTCTAGCTACAGCATCCTTGAAACTGCAGGGATTACTTTTCCCTACAAAAGCTTGCCTGATGCCTAAACTCATCACCTCCTCAAAGAACTTCTGCCCAGGTTGCCATGCTTTGCTTCCTAGTGCTAGTGTGGAGTGAAGGAATATGTTGCAGGGACCATTGCAGGGGAGTATAGTATACTGGGACAACTTTAGGGATCCACTCCTAGATCCCGAACCAACCACCAGCACGGTTGGCGCCTGAAGTTATCGTTCCCACCAATCAGCAGGAAGGACACGGCATTGTCCGGCCAGTGAACTGGAGTTGGCAGCTTCATGGCCTTGGACGTTCTTGGTCCCTTTTTCTTGGGGCACCCTTGAACCCTAAGCATATGGGCATGGATCTTGACAGGGGTCTTTATTCAGGATTTGACAACTTCCCATAGTAGGACTTTGCTTATTAGATGCTCCTTTTTCCAGTGACATCCCTAGAAGGCACAGTGAAGCATGCTTCAGTGCTTCAGACAGCAGTCTGGTTCATCGCATCTGGTTTATTTGAGATCAAAAGAAAAGCAGCAGCAAACTCATCTCTTCAGGTTGCAGGTGGAGTGGTGGTAGTCTAAGCGCTTCCCCGATGATGGTGGTGGTGATGATGATAATGGTAGTGGGGGTGATGACACGGTAAGTAATGTGAAAATGACGACGATAAAAGCAATGGCTACATACGAGTACCCCGAGCCACCATGCACTGTTACGCTTCCACCTCCATTGTTGCTTGGTGATGGTGCTGCTACTGCATAATCGCCGCTACCAGCGCACGATTTTTGTGCCAGATCTGATCTCAGGCCACCACGCAGCCGCCGTTGATGACCACGACCTCAGATTTTTGCGCCAAGTTCTGCTTTGTGGCGCAGGCAAGTACCTCGGCCTCGGCATACTGGCCTTGCACTGCTTTACAACTACTATCACGTCAACATTCTTGTCACAGGTTGGTTACAAGGATATCATACCCGTGTCCTCAACTCGTTTTTGGGACTGCAGACATCTCGAGGGCTGATTGGGCAAAATGAACAACCCACATAAGGATCCTCATCCAGCACTCATGAAGGATTACTAGACTACACAAGAAAAGACAAAATCACTACGCCCAAGAATTTAACACCATAGGTGCCCACAAAGAGGACCCGAGGTTTTTTTGCAGCCAAGGCTGGAGCCACCAGGTGTACCCATACTCGCCCAAAGCACTTTGTATGTAAACTCTACAGCACCAGAAAACAAAAGCTGCTTCTGGAAACGTTCATTGTGTTTCTTCTCCTGTAAAAGCTGGGTCATCTGCCGGAGGCACCGGGCTAATGAGCCCCTGAGCCTGGCGTCAGAAGTGTGTGGACTGAAGCGGCTGAAGCACTGCAAGAGGCATCCATGAAAAGTGGGGCTTCCCTTTATAAGATTAGGTTCCTAAAGCAAGGCCCTTCCTTTGAGAAAAAGTTGATGTGTCAACCTTCAGGGTCTTGGCCAGGGATGCGCTATTACTAGCCTTCAATGGGCTTGGAACGTACGCGGTAGCCTAAACCCGCCTTCAGATATGGGTCTTATGCTTAGACTGCTGAAGCCTCGTCTCATAACACAAGCATCCACAGAGTGAGTCAAACATTCGTCTTAACAAGAGCAAACTGGACAGTCAGAGCCTGGCTGCAAGTTAAAAACAAGCCAAGGCCTAATCTGATACTTTCAAAGTTCCACGTGCAAGCCTTACTGACATGTAGCCCATGAGGCAGTCCAGGGACTCTGCCTAGGAATGTCAACCAGCCTGAGTTGTTCAGCCAGCCAGCAACTCTCATATCGCCTAGGAGCATATGGCCCCTTGCACGATTTACTTGCAAATGACCCCGCCCATGGATGGCAGGCTCCCCCGCCTCCGCCTGCCACATGTGAGGCAAGACCTGGACAAACTAGAACTCAAATGTAATTTCCATGGAACACGAATTACCCACAGAGGGTAACCATGTGAATAAATGTGATCGTGGACATGATTTTCCAATTAGGGTCTGGGCCACTTGTCCACCACGCGAGCCGAATACCATCGTCTGAACTTGGGCGTGCACTCGGGTCTCCAGCACCTTTGCAGCAGGCCCTCAGCAGGACTTCCTGGAGGGCCCATTTAAAAGCCTCGTCAGCAAAGCTCTGCAGGTTTGGTGCAGGAGCCCCGTGCGGCCAACACGGCCTTAGCTGCGACACAGCCAGGCATCGGGAGGCCGCGCATCTAGAAATCTTCAAGAGCTAGCATGACTGCCAACCATTGATCCGAGAGGCGGATAGACGTCGTAGGCAGCTCGGGACCGTCCCACAACTTCAACCTGCACATATCTTCACATGAGGAATCAAGACCAAAGCCCTTTTTGGGGGAGCTTTTGAACCTTGAAAGAGGGATTCCGACCCAGCTCCGAGTAGATGGCACCGTTGATGCCCGTGCCAGCACCTGCCAGGGCATCTGCTGTTGCTGTTCCCAAAGCCTTTGGCCCCAACTATTTCAAATTGTTGCCTGGCCTGGAGCCACGACCGCCACTGTGATTTTTGAGGAGATGATGGGCTTGATCTCAACCTTCACATCCTGAGGCACCAACGAACCACGCAATGGCATGTTTTCTCGTTCCTACCATTGGCTGCGCCGTACAGTCAGTTGCATTCTTAGGCTGGCATCCAAAGCGTTACTAGAACTCTCCTAAAACAGAGGGCCGTGGGCCATGGAATCTTTTCGGAGAACCTGTGAGGCAATTCCGGAACATGTTGCTGTAGATTGGCGTTGGTAACGTTACGATCATCTGTAGCTGAAGGAGAGTGTGGCATCCAGGGTCCCAGCCGCTTGTGGAGGGCTCCCTGGCGAGAGGGGCACCTGCAGGTGCCCCTCTGTACGGGCTCTCCGTCGTGTGCGGTGAATCACCTCATGCGGTGGCTCACATCTACGCTTCGTTTGCTGAATGCCTAAATGATATGAATGTGCATGTGCATGTGCCATATCTCAAACCCGTCACTCGAACCAGGACAAATAGTCAGGGAATATCCGTGTCAGTATTGCGCAGGGCGCTTGAACACCACTGATGATGACAAAAGCGCAGGTCCGGAAGGTTGTTCTAATCAAGACTCAAGAAATATGCAACATGCAACAGGCAACTTTGCACCTCCTGACCCGTAGGAGACGTAGGTGGGGAGCCCCAATTCAGAAGCGATGCCTCCCACACAGGGCCAGGAGCTCGGCAAGGATAGTCGAGGGGATGCTCGATATGCAAGGCTCACACAAAGACTTCGTGGGGGCTTATGACCACATGAAGATCGCTCTTGTCAATCCAAGGAAATTTGGACGCACTTCCCATCTTGCAAATTACAATGAAGCCATGCACTGCTACTTGCACATCCCCAAAATGCAGAGAAGCCCATGCCCAAAACAGGTAGCGTTACAAACCATCAAACCGTACGTGCAAGGACCTGGAACTCTTTGAGCTATTCCAGCACTATCCCTCTAAGGCCCAAACATCCTTTCTTCATGTTACCAATTGCACGCATCTTCCACCCAGCCTTTGGGGTTTGGCCCACGGTGCGGATGAAGGGAGTTCCACTGGGGCTGGCCCCTCCTCGTGGCCAAGGAAATGACTTTTTCGTTCAAATAAACTCCCGAACACAGTGTTGAATTGTCTAGGTGCAGGATCCAATGGCACAACTTGTTTCGGTTGGCAGGCGTCGGCAACAGGGGTCAAAATCACAGATCTTGCCGTTACTGCAGGCAGGAAAGCAACATGTCATGTCGCTTTGGCTGGAAAACGGGAAAACACTCTGGAATTCCTATATACCCTTGCTGATGAGATTCTCAGGCAAAGAACAAACCGTACTTCTGATCTACAGCAACCTTTGTTTCCCAACCTATATATACACAAACGTATGAAGCAAAAGTGAAGACGGCGTAAAGCCAAAATTCTGGTTGGCCATCCCAAAAGACTGCAAACATCGGAATCTTGCGGAACCTCTTCGTATAGATCCGTCTGGAGAGTAGTCATAGTCTTGCAAAACTTCACAACCCGATCCTTGGTTCAGGATGCCAGCAAGGTCCAGGTGAGTCTCAGCCTCTCGACGTGCCTGTGGCTTAGGAGTTGTGTTTCCTTGGCTCAGTTTTCATGTGGAGTTCAAAGGGTAATGAGGGGCAGGGTTGTAAGGGGCGAATGGAGATACAAGGCAAGGGATTATCAGGGTCTGGTGCTGCTGGCATGTATGTCTTGTGTGTCTTGATTTGGGTTCAGGCTCAGGATTTTGGGGAAATGATAGTGGCCTCGTGGGACTTAGGGCTCTCATAATGCTGTTGAAAGCTTGTTGGGTTGTTCAAAGTGTTCGACAAGCAGAGGCTAATTGGTTTCCGCAACCACCCTGATTGAGCAGTTGCGCAACAATCGAATGGTTCTGACAGTCGGTTGGAAGATACACGAGACGCAAGGGCCTGAAGGAAGAAATTTGAGTTTGGGGCGAGACAGGTCTGAGGAATAAGGTGGCTGTCTTGGATGGATCTTCAGACAAGGAGACTTGTAATATTGTGCACCAGAGCCATAGCTTTGCCAGCATAGAACCTGTTGGTAGATCTTTACTTGTTGTTTGGCTGCCACAATGCCTATTTCAGAGTTCGTGAAAGTCTGCAGATTTTTGAAGTTGCGACAGGCCGACCCTACTCAAGGTCCATCTACGGCTGTGGCAAGTCCATGTGGCCTGCTCCACCGTGATGTGCAAGGTGTCAGCAAGCTCTGCGACGAGAATGTCAACCTTGAACATTCTTGCAATACGGCAAAACTTCCTGCTCGCCCTTCACAGCAGCACAGCCTGCTCTCAGCTCGTAGTTCGATGGAATTCTTGAAGCCAATCCCATGATCCCAGTCAACTCCCGAGAGCCGCGCAGGAGAAGGCTGGCCGGTGGTCAGCAGGGCATACAGTCGCTGCTCCTGAAATTGTGATAGAATTTCACAAGTTTCGGGTCCTACTGATCGTACAGTTTCCAAGAGTGCGACGGCAGTGCTGACCCAATCAGGCCGACCAATGGCTAGATGGAGGGAAGGCATAGTGGCTTCCTGCAACTTCAAGACACTCTGTTGAACCTGTGTCAGATAAACCAAGAGACCACGTGTCTGCGTGGCATGGATCCAGAGCCCTGCAGGCCTGGAAGCAAAGTTTATCCGCGGCGATGGCAGGGATTTTCAGAGCAGTCTCGACTCTAGATGTATCGATACTGCACTGCTACAAAAGACAAATTTGTCTGGTGCCCATACCGTCTCGTGAGTTCACCCATGGATTCTCGTGTTGAGACCAATCTCTGAGGCATGCCAGAAGAATGCTGATCTGATTGAATCCTGCAACTGACTCCAAAAGCAGCAACGTGCTACTGTTGGCGCTGTGTTCGGTTGCTTTGGTGCTGTCAGCTAACCTACTTGCAGTTTCTCAAAAGTCAGGACAGCTTCATGAAGCCCATCCTCTGGGCACCCGTTTTCGAGAAACTGCCTACTTGCTGCTGCTGGCACAGATCTTAGATCAGGCCATGAAGGAACTTTGCAAGTCCTGCAGCAGAGCTGGTGAGAAGCCATTGTGCTACAAGTATATGACACACCTTGGAGCAAGCGCTGAACATGGCTGGAGGGATGAGGGTTGGGTTTTGTGGGTGCTGAGACTCTAGATACATCCCCTGCCCTCCATGAAGACTGCTCCAATGACGACCTGTGCGTGCCACAAGGCTTCTCGGATGGAAGCCGCCACTTGGTGGGCGTGGCCGCAAAAATCGAGGCTGCGCGGGGCTGCGCGGGCAGCCAGATGAGCGGGACCCTCAATGTCATCTCGTCCCTGGCGCTGAGTAGCTGAGTAGCTAAGGCACCTAAGCTGAAACCTTCTTTCCCTTGATACAGGAACTTGAGGATCCGCCCAAGAACTCCTACGCCCAGTAAGAAAGCGTTATCACACCATACGGCCGCTCCAGTGACTGTCGGCAGCTGGGCATCTACCCGCCGCCGCAACCACGCGGTATGTACAGCGGCCAGTGTAAGCATGCTAAGGGCTGAGCCTGTGTGGCTGTGCCATGCTAAGCCCAGGAAGCTCACGCGAAAGTGATGAGATATGCGGGGTGAGCGGCGCCCACCATTTGCGTAACGTAAACCTCGGGGCTGGACAGGGAGTCAACCGCCGAGTTGTAGCGATGCGGCTTCTGCCGGAAGGGTAGCACGCCCTGAGAGGGGAAATCTAAAAGGATCTGTTCACTGCTTCCCACCCTCGAACTGGACTTCTGCACGGTGAAAAATAATTGCCAAAGAACCCGCAGATTTCACCCGCGCCTTCTGGTTTGGATCCCCAAGACACGGCATTCCAAGCATTACCAAGCAGAGCAGCATACATCTCGAGCCATCCCTCCGCCGAGGGCAGAACTGCCCATCTGCCACGTACTTTGCGTCTCTAGCGAAGTAGGTGCCCGAACCCCAAACTGGCGAGTTGCGGCTGCCAGAAATAAGGGGCTGAAACCCCGACACTGGATCCCTGATGATCGATAAGAGCGACTCCTGGTCGGCCCCATGGAAAGCCCAACATGCATGGATGCTGGGGTCAAAGTCTACCCCCTGCTCCCGCAAGGAATTCCGGAGGCCATCCCTGTACGGGATGGTGCTGCACTCCATCTGGCCTCCGTTCTCGACTCGCTCGATCTTATGGATCGGAACTCTTTCCCAGCTGGCCTGGGAGAACCAAGTTGCAAGCTGGAAGTGAGGATTAGTGACTAGTCGCTGATTCTCCACCAGGAGGTGGTTTGCATTGCGTTGGGGTCTTCAACATTCGCCGGCCGATCTGATGGCGGGACACAGGAACTTTTGCCGCATCTGCTGATGCAGAAACTCAACTTACCAGGACCTTGCAAATGAGTTCGCGAAAACTCAGAGCTGTATGTCATCCTACTGCCTGGAAAGATTGTGGCGGTACAGCCCAAATTTCTTTCGAGTGTGGTGGAGTTGTTCATCCTTTGGGGAAATTTGGCGTCTCAGTTCTTCCTCAAGTGACCCAGCCTGGGAGGAGAGCATGTAAGCGGGCGGCTCTACAGGTGCGGCCCGGAAGATGGCCGCCACTCGCCGGAACTCCTTCGAAGTTTGAGAAGGATGTTTTTGTTTTTCAAGCGCGCCTTCTTCCGCAATGCTTCTTGAGGGCTTCAACAACTGAACATCAGTAGCTGGCTCTAAGGTGCATCAGCCATTTGAGCTTGATTCAATCAAGGTGGGAATGCCTGGGACTGGGATGTGGTCTATAAGAACCATAGCGCGTATATCTGTGGATCGCTAGAAAATTCTGTGGCCCCTCTAGAGACTCTCGAGGATCCTGTAGGGATGGCATAGGAAACTCCTACACAACCACTAAGGGAACATTTGATGGGCCATACCGTTGGATATACGGCTCTTGGTGTAGGGGGTGCATCTCATCCTTGGGAAGATCAGGCTTCTGTGGAAACTCTACACTCTATACGACTCTAGAGGGATCTGGAATCTCCAGCTGCGTGGGCTTCATTTGAAAGCCAGCGGCAGAACCGAAAGCTCTGGGCTCGAAAATTGCTCAATGCAGCCAGGCAGGCGAAGGGCAGCAGCAGGCGACAGCATGAACAAGCAACGACTGTCCAACGAACACAATCTGCAGGATAAACCTACAGCTGCAATGGACTCCAGAGCCACAAAGGAGCCCATCTAGGCCTGGTTTGCCCCCGCAGGATCCCTAATTACAAAGGCAATATATGTGTTCCCAGAACAAGTGTACCTCCAAAAAGGGACTTTGGTGGGCAGCGCCCGGACCCTCCCCTGCTGCAGTTCCCAAATCGAGCCGCTTGGGGCCACCCCCCGCCCGGCAGGCCCCCACTTCCCAGCCTCACATCGTTCAGGGTATATGAACGAAGCTTCCTCTCACCGCGACCTTCGTGACAAGATGATGTAGCCAACTGGACTCCAAAACTCAAGGGAAGCTGAACATTCTCCATGGAGATTCAATCGTTTCCAATCCAACAACAAGCCTGGAATAGTTTCTACCTGTGAGGTAGAAATGAACCGATCCTTGCAAAACAAGCCCCAGATAAGCCGCCCACATCCTGCCCATTAAGCCTGCCCAAACCAACATACACTCCAGTCTTTTGAGAGTGCCCTCAATCCCTGCAGCATCCCATATCATGGCCATGTAGTAGATTCTTGGCCCTGCTCTCCTCGGAGTTTGGGGGCACCCCGATGAGCGGCTCATCTCTTCCCCTTCGTCCGGGCGACGTCCAGAGTCTCCTAAGTCGCTCCTGAGCGCATCTGTTGCCATCGCAACAGCGGAAATGATAGAATAGACTGATCCTCGCCTCCTACTCCTTGTGGTTGCTGGTAGTGTTGGTCATGGTGCTGCTGGTGCTGCGGCGGCGGCGGCGGCTGCTGCGGCCGCTGCCGCTGGTCGCTGCTGCTGCCGTTGCTGCTGTCGGTGGGGGCGGGGGCATGGTGTTCATATCGCGGACACGGGTGACAGCTGTGCGCGTGCACTCACGGTGGCCGCCTTAGCAGCAGCAGCAGCAGCAGCAGCAGCAGCAGCAGCAGCCGCAGCCGCAGCCGCAGCCGCAGCCGCAGCCGCAGCCGCAGCCGCGGCAGC